TGTGTTTATATGTAAACCTTGTGTGTTTTGACAGTATTAGACGATAACTAAGATAACTAAGTAATCAGGTGCTGTTTGACCGGCCTTTTAGTGTACGGACGCTTCGGGTGTACGCGTCCTGAATAAGCACATGTTAGAACAGCACGCAAATGAAACGTTTAACCAGCAAGGCTTTAAAGCATGCAGAAGTAATGTACTTTTGTGATTGCAAATAAGTCTCGTGAGTGTAACTCTACCGAATCAACATTTGATGTGAATGTGTCTCGCGAGTTTCAGTTGTAGCTGGAGCCGCGAGACATAATGCAGCGCATTGCTTGAGGTAGATGTTGTATTTTGTTAGTAAATGTTTCATTATATTACTAGTGTTGCCTCCTTTGTTCACTATTACACTACTGCATCAGACACTGGTGTCGCCTAGTTTGTGTCGCACATGCACATGGATATCACACGCACGTTGAGCAAACGTCGGCCACATCATTCAGTGAAGGAAAATGACAAGCAGCAGCTTCTAATTCGTCGTTAACATTGAAGTATACGAAGATAAAACAACGCAAGTATCGATAACAGTATCGTTTGTCCTGGACAGGGTTTCTGCATGATTTTTAAAGGGGTCATATGATGCTATTTTAAAGATCATTATTTTGTGTATTTGGTGTAACAGAATATGTTGACATGCTTTAATGTTCAAAAAACACATTATTTTTCAAATACTGTACATTATTGGCAATAATGTACAGTACGTGGAAAATAATGTGGGTTTTTTTACCTTAAACCGCATAAACACATTTCATTACACCAAATACACAAAATAATGTTATTTTTAGCAACATCATATGACCCCTTTAACCCATCCAAGTGCGCGCACACAGCAGTAAGTAGTGAACACACACCCGGAGCAGTGGGCAGCCATTTTTGCTGCGGCGTCCGGGGAGCAGTTGGGGGTTTGGTGCCTTGCTCAAGGGTCTCACCTCAGTCGTGGTATTGAGGGTGGAAGACAGTGTTGGTCATTCACTCACCCCATCTACAATCCCTGCCAGTACCGAGACTCGCAACCTTTGGGTTACAAGTCAGACTCTCTAACCATTAGGCCACGACTTGCCCTCTATATAAGAGGAAAACGCTTAACATGTAAATAAACACATTTTGGTCACATTTTAGGCTCATATGCATATCTGCACAAAGTGTGCTTTACAATTTTGTCTTTATCATTGTCTTGGTACATTAAGCGTTATTCGTGTTGAGCGTTGTATAATGTCTCTGTTCAAGTTCTGCTAATACACAAGCAAAGTGAGAGTCATACTCACAAAGGAAACGTTAATTATTAAGCCAAACAAAATCAAAACTTTCAAAAACACCCAGCAATGTGATTATTTTATTGAGTGATTTACTATCCGGCGTCTTCTCGTCATCTCCATGACCTGCTTCCCTTGGTGTTTTTACACAGAGAAAAGGCGAAAAAACATTACATTGTCCAGTTTTCTCTCAGAACGATGATCTGAGTTACTATTGCAATTCTCGATGCAGCATGAATGACATACAATGGTGACATTTTTCACAATCACGACAGAAAATCAAACTGCTGCCCTAAACTCAATAGCGGAAAGGCAGCGTGATCCTACCAGTATGGCGGATAAACAGCAGTTTCCCAGAACTCAACGCTGTGTGACGTCAGCTTCACATTTCTCTATACAGGTTATTTAATAAAACAATTAACGTTACAAATCGAATCTAGACCACGTAATTTATTTGGTAGCCGTGAAATATCTGATTAATATAATAAAATTTATGATAAATCGCTTGTAAAACGGGATATTGTACAGCCAGTTATCACAAAATAAAGCCAATGAGGGTTTATTAAGCAATAATGACGAGCTGACTGTACATTATGTCTTACATATTAACAGATAAAGAGAGAAATATTATTATCTTTATTGCTATTTTAGATAGACAACACATTATTTCAGTAACTGTGTGCATCATGTATTATTATACACTAGTACTAAGGGCAGAGCTCACAGGGCCTCATCCATAGTTTGTGGTAGGCGGAGCCCTAAACTCCTTGAATGGATTTTATTCTCTCAAATGCCTTAAACTATTATCATAGTCGACTTCAAAAAAATTAAAACATCCACAACAACACATACTATAACATTAACGTGGTTTGTTTTGATTAAAAAAACAAAAAAAAAACACGCCCTTAAGAATAAAAACTCCCGACACATTTGCCCTGATACCAGACGTGCAGCTAACAGCTAACTAGCATTCCCCACCAAAGTTTTCAGGATAGTCTCTGTTTAATACTCTTAAGTAGTCATCAACTCTTTTGTCCTTTCATGACGCTTCTAAATTCGTCAAAAGATGATTAACAAGACGTCTACAAGAAACAAACTGGTGTTTATTTAGTGTAAAATGAAACGACAGATACAGAAATATCCCAAACATTCCAAGAAGTTGCGAAACGAGCTAACAATGTAACGTTAGCCACAAACACAAACTGCGCCTTTCTGTCTTTCTTGTATTCACAATATAGACGTAAAAAGAACCAATTATGAGGCAAATTCACGTTTATATTTGTTAACAATGAAAATAATGGCATTTAAAGTATCCAGAAAAAAAGCTAAACATACTCACCAAACTGTTGAAATTCCTGTCAGACTCAAAATGGAGGGATGAGACTTTTAAAATGATGTGGTAAAGTTTTTTCGCGTGTTATAATCCCTCCCAGCGGCTAAACAAAAGCCAAAAGATATAATCCACTAAAACCTGACTAAAAGAGCCCGTCTGAATGATAAATGTAAGAGTTGGCGAAGTGTTTAGGAGGAGTTTCGGTTTTCCCCGTGAGTTGAATGTGGAGGCTGATGGCGGATTCCCAGCAGTCGGTCAGTGTTATCAGGTGTGTTTGGGAGTGGCTCGAGAACTCCAGTAAAATTCAGCTGAGCGCGCAGTGGGGGGACATTGAAACACAATGGTATCGGATTAAAAGGTGTGAAAGGAGATTTAAATATGGCGAAATTTGTGAAGGAACTTTTTTACTGTTGTTGACTCAGTTTAAGAGGAAATATGCATATTCTTTCTCTTTCTCTGAGAGAAAATTCTCTCTCTACTTACTATCAAGTTTCAATTCAGTTCAGCTCAGTTCCTGTGCTTTATTTATTGGCATAACAACAGTAGGCTAAATTTGTTTTACATTTTCATCATAACTGTTATAAACTAAGCAACAATATGTATAATGTATGAAGACAAATACATAAGAATTATTTTTAAATTACGCCATTTCCAATATTGCCTTTCATGCAGTGTGTAATGTAGCTGTATGTGAATGTAAACGATCTGCAAAGTGGTAAAGCTGAAAGTGCACGATAAATAAAGTTATTGAGACTCTGAACAGCTGAAACCAGTCCTTAGTAATTAGAATCCCACTTCCATGACGGCTACGCGTCATGGGGTAACACATTTGCATAATGCGTGCCTATGTTCTACATTGGCGGTGTTACGAGATTTTCGGTTTCAGTGGGCGGCGCATACATGAATATTCATGAGTTTCCCGGACATGCTCGTGGAACCATGTGGAACTGAGAATTTCAGTTCACGCTCCTTGTATCTCAATGGGATATTTTAAAAAATGTAAATATTTTACAACGTTGCACAAACCTATGCCTAAACTACATTTGTTCATCATTTTGTAACAGTTTATAATGTTTTCATTAGTTTGCACGTTTTGTGCAGTCGTCACTGACTGAATTGTTATTTCATTCATTGCCAGAAGATGACAGTTTTAAAACTTAAAATGTAACAGAAGAGCATAAAAATAAATAAATGAAATGGTAGTTGGATACTATTGGAAACCTGTAGCTGTAATCATCCAGGTGTTCTGGGATTTTTGGTTTCACTGTGCAAATGGAACCATAAACCTTGTGATAATCTTAATTGGTAAATTTACATTTGTTTGTAAAGAAGTTTAACTATTTTACATTGGAAACATGTGCAATACTGTAAATATATTTACCTTTTAAAAAAAAAAAATATATATCCCATTAAACCTGCTGAGATACAAGGAGCGTGAACTGAAATTCTCAGTTCCACTTGGTTCCACGCCATGTCCGGGAAACTCATGAATATTCATGTATGCCCCGCCCACTGAAACAGAAAATCTCGGAAACCGAAAATCTCGTAACACCGGCCGCGAACAACTCGACCCCGCCCACAAACACGTCATTCTACTGACGACTGCTTCTCTAATCTCAGGGAGTTCAATGCAGGATTCACAAAATGCTTGCTGTTGAAAGAGGGATCAGTATTTATTTGGACCAGCTGCTCCACTGAATCACAACCTGTAAGTATGATAAATAATAGATGTTTATATTTTCTATAGAAAATACAGAACTATTGAAATAGGCATATCGTTTCCGAAATGCGCTGTACGCCGTAGACCAATCACAAAAGACTAGGCCATCTGACCAATCAGAGCAGAGCAGGCTCACGGAAAGGAGGGGTTTAGAGAGACTGAATCTTTAAACTGCTTCGAACGAATCGTTTGAGAATCGCTGGAAAATTAGGTGATATTAAATGCATATTTTGAGAAAACGAAAGCGTTTTTTGACATTGCATGCGTGTAATCCTATTGTAGGAGACTCCCAAAACAATATTAGGAACCGTAAAAATGGCATAATAGGGGAACTTTAAATAAGATAGATAGATAGATAGATGATTTGAGGCACATTTTAGATGGTCAGTTTGGTTAGGCTGAGAGACCATTTTTTTACCATTTTAAAATATCTTTGTAAGCAACTCATTTTGTGTTTAGTTTGCCTATTATTAATAATGATACTTAATTTCGTGGCCAAATTCATCCTTTCTTAAAAATCTAAATATGAAAAAGAGGGAGAAGGAAATGCAGTGAATATATGAGCAGCTGGTATGAGTTTTTTTCCCCCTCAGAACACAGTGCAGAGTGCAGCGCAAGTGGGTCTGACTCATAGGAAGTTATTGAGATGTGAGTCCCGCAGGCGAATTGTAGCATGAATAGTAATAATCTTACATTTTCAGTGGTTTATTTGGAGAGGGCATAGTGCTCTACAATAGAGCCAAGTGGATGATAGTCATTTAATTTATTTTGTATTTTCTAAGAATTCATAATGGAACATGCGTTGAGTTTTATATTTTAGCTGGAATTTAAATTAAGTTATAGATAAGATTGTCATATTCATCTTTGGAGCAGGATGAACCTCATATTCTGTTTGAATGGTGTTCTGAAGTTATCTTCTCTATCCGTCAACAGAGGGAGAGAGGGGCCACTCTGGTGAAGGAGTAATACAACTATCATGAAAATCATACCTTAACCTCTAGTGGAAATGATTTCATCTGTGCATGATATGTGACCCTGGACCACAAAACCAGTCTTAAGTCGCTGGGGTATATTTGTAGCAATAGCCAAAAATACATTGTATGGGTCAAAATTATTGATTTTACTTTTATGCCGAAAATCATTAGGATATTAAGTAAAGATCATGTTCCATGAAGATATTTTGTAAATTCCCTACTGTAAATATATAAAAACGTAATTTTTGATTAGTAATATGAATTGCTAAGAACTTCATTTGGACAACTTTAAAGGCGATTTTCTCAATATTTAGATTTTTTGCACCCTCAGATTCCAGATTTACAAATAGTTGTATCTCGGCCAAATATTGTCCTATCCTAACAAACCATACATCAATGGAAATCTTATTTATTCAGCTTTCATATGATGTATAAATCTCAATTTTAAAAAAATGGACCCTTATGACTGGTTTTGTGGTTCAGGCAGGGTCACATATAGTTCCGCTGACTATGTGTCATACAAGGCTGTGGTCATGTGCTGGATAGACCGTTTGGGGGATGGGAGGTGAACCGATGTGTGAGAATTTGACAGACTTTATGCACAGCTAAGCAATTTTGGTAGAGGAGGGGACTGCATTGTGGATGACAAGTACTTTGTCTTCACAAGCCTGGATACCATTGTGAAATCTAATGAGCAAATCTGCCAGACTTTTTTTCTTGGAGCTTAATGAAGTGGAGGAGCAATAAGCAGGTTATTGGATGGGGCCAGATGTATTAAAAAAATTAACACGTGCATCTCACCCATAATGGCCATATAGAAAAGATGACGGTGCATGAAAGCGGATGTTTTATTCTCTTCAATATGTTGTTTTTGCATCTAGTCTGTCTGTTTTTTACTGTGTCATATGGCATTTTCTAATTTTCTCTTTATGGGAACATAAAACAGCATTGGGGTAATTGAGAGCTGTGTTAATTTAGCCCTTAGAAATTCATATTTTCCGCAGGTTATGCATCTCACGGTTGTTGCCCATTGGGAAACTGCTGCGGTTCCCTGGAATGAAAATAAATAAATAACTCTCAGACAAATCAGGAGAAGCCAAGTGGACGTAATAACAATTAGATACGCAGAGGAAATTGCTTTAGTGGTAGAGCACAGACAATAATCTAAACTCAGTGGCTAAGGAAGGTAGAGTGCATTAACAACAACGACTTCTTGTTCTTCAGGTAGGCTACTGGAGGAAGAAAAAGCCCACTAAATTAGTTGGTTGGACAAGACATTAATTAATAACTTCCAGAACCTCTGTGAATATACAAATAATAATAATCAGGTTTTGTTGTTAATGTGGATCCTTCAAACGCTTGCTGTTTCAAACTTAGACCAGTCATTAAGGTGTGAGAGTGCTGTGTTGAAATCCAGGCTAAAACAGTAATGTCCCTTGCTCCGCAGTTAACAAAAGTGGCCATTTTTAGCCATGAGCTCGTCTTCTTCCATTGCATAATTTATCCTTTTACTTTCTTCATTTGTATAATGCTTTAAACTATCCCTTTAAGCTAGTGGTTCTCAGGTGTTGGGTTACAGTTCTGTTCTTAAACAATTGCAGACATCAGGGAAAAGCAATGCTAATGATGCAAATGTAATCATGCCTAGTTAGGACGGCAAAATAAAAAGGCATAGATTTTAAAAGCCAGGGAAAAAGTGCTTCCCATATTTTTATTTAATTAATTAATTTATTTATTTATTTGATACCACAGGCTGTGCATCCATTTAAACATTATTTTGGCACAAAATCAACATTTACTTGGTTAAAGCTAGCCAATTTAAAAAGATGCCAACATGGACAGGTTGCTTGAGATCCCTCATCGTCAAAAATAATGCACAAAACTCCATAAGCTAAGGGGAAAAAAAACAGATTACATTAAATACGGGTTCACCTGCAGCTAGGATAAACATGGTTTGTGCCAACAACAATGTGATTTGTGCAATGAATTATTGGCAGCCGAGTAAACGAAACCATCAAAATTCATGAGACCTTTAGAAACCAAAATTGTCTGCTTCCTTTTCAGCATGTCATGTTAATCATTTTGAATATTGCTGGGCCAGTTCATAACGATATTAAGTATTTGATTTTACGGACAATTCCTTAATGTTGTACGATAAACACTTTCTGATTCTCAAAACAGTTGAGACTCACTGTCATTGGCTTTTACAAACTCGTCAAAACTGCAGATTTAGTCATAATTATTGCATAGGTTAAATAATAAATCTTATTATGCAAAATAATAAGTATATGCATAAAGATGCTGTAAGCGTAATATGTGTTATAGGTATCTATGGGTGCATTTTTTTATATAAGGCACAGGTTGTGATAAATTATTCCTTGTTATACTTAAGAAATCTACATGTGTGTCACTCTGAATGAATAATAAATACCTCCACTGCAATCAAATGTTTAAAGATGCTACTATGTTCCTTATGGGGGCTCTGAAGAATTTTTCCCAGGAAGGGGTTTTTGTGTGAGAAAGTCGGTAATGATGACTTCACCACACCCTACTGAGTCATCCTGCAGTCTCACATAGACTACTATGATGCCATCAGTGGGAGCCCTTATCAGCATGGCACAGTCATTTCCATGGTCGTCGCATTCCTCTATGTTATTAGTAGCGTTTGCGGCCGTGTTCGGGAGAACATCACTCACAGCCAGCCCTGAAGCCATGAATCAGTACTGTCTTTCACACTAACAAAAGCCTTAGAAAGTCTGGGCTTCATCCCAAACATACACACAAATACA